TGTGTGTGTGTGTGTGTCTGTATGTATTTTTCCAGTAATGGACAGTCTTATCAGTCTAACAGCCTTATTGACTGACAGTGAAACCTGTGCACTAAAACTTTAGATCAAAGATTAAATTATATTCTTGTTACATATTTTTTTCTTGACAGATCAGTTATTTTTCATCCTGTGCCTGTTTAAGTGACAGGCAAGAATTCCCCACATTCTTCAGAGTCATCCCTAGTGATGCCTATCAAGTAAAGGCCATTGCAAAACTCCTGCTGCATTTTAAGTGGACCTGGGTAGGAGTGGTACGAGGAGATCACGAGTATGGTCGCTTTGCTCTTCAGGGCTTACTGAAGGAGCTGGAGGGTACAGGAATATGTGTTGCTTATCAGGGGATGATTCCTCTCTTATACGAGCGTCAAAGAGCACTGGAAATCATTCGTGTCATGAACCATTCCACTGCTCGGGTGGTAGTGGTGTTCTCAGCTGAAGGGGAGCTCACACCCTTCTTGAGAGACTACATGGAACAGAATGTCACTGGGATACAGTGGATTGCTAGTGAGGCATGGGTTACAGCCTCTGTGTTCACAGGAAGTGAATATTACCCTTTCTTGGGAGGAACCATAGGATTTGGTATACGACAGGGCCAAATCCCTGGGTTAAGACAGTATCTCACAACAGTCAATCCAGAAAAGTACCCCTCAAATCCTCTGGTTCACGAGCTGTGGGGGGCGTTATATGGCTGCTCCCCCTCCAGTTCCAGCTTGAATAATAATCTGCCCTCCTGTACAGGGAAGGAGACTCTAAGGGTGCAGCACTCTGCCTATTTTAACACTTCCAGCCCCCGCATTTCCTATAATGTTTATAAAGGAGTCTATGCCATTGCTTATTCCCTGCATAATCTTATTCACTGTACACCTGGAAAAGGGCCATTTAGTAACTCCACATGTGCAAACTTGCGCAGTGTCTACCCATGGCAGGTACTCAAAATAAGGAGTGCTTAAATGTTTAATGCTAAAGTAACTGTGTACCAGGTTATGACTTGAACCATTGTAAACAAACCATCTTGTTTTTATCTCTTCAACGGAATATTTCACAGTTACAGCAGTATCTCCAAGAGGTGTCATTCACTATTTCAGGAGAGACAGTGAAGTTTGACATGAAAGGCGATTCTATTCCATCTTATGACCTTATAAACTGGCAGAGGGGCTCAGCTGGAAATATTGAGTTTGTTAATGTGGGCATGTTTGACGGTGCACAAGAATCTGGCCAAGAACTGGTCATCCAGGAGAAGGCTATCATTTGGCCCGGCCATCAGACTGAGGCAAGCTGTTCTCACAGTGTATTTCAGTACATGAGATTCCATGTTCTGAAGTTCTGTAGGGTCAAATGGAGGTAAGTGTCTTAAATAAAGAATTGCTCATCTGAAGATGGCAGTTCTATCTATGGAAAGAAAACGCAAAAGGCTATAGTAATCCTTGTTTTTCAGTCTATGTCAAAGTATGTCACATGCTCACTCATTCATTCTGGTTAGATTAATATTATCTAGTTTGTTTCTTGTCTAGTAATTATTTCTGATTTTGACCTGAAATATACACTAATACATTTCTAATTTATGTGGATCTGTTGGCTAAGCAGGTGCTGGTGTCTGTGTGCAGCAACAGCTGTGCTCCAGGATTCAGGAAAGCTGTCCGGCGTGGCCAGCCTTTGTGCTGCTTTGACTGTGTACCATGTGACAGTGGCAAAATCAGTAATAAGACAGGTTGGAGAACAACTTCAATAATGCAGCAATAAATCTCACAAAAAATGTGATCTTCATCCTAATTTTTATAGTCTTTCCCTCTCTTTAGATTCAGTAGAGTGTATGGCCTGTTCTGAAGATTACTGGTCAAATGCTGATGGAACAGTGTGCATTCCAAAAGTCGTTGAATTCCTGTCCCATGATGCAATGGGATTGACCCTAACAGTAATAGCTTTAGTTGGGGTGTGCCTAACTTTAGCTGTGTTTGCTGTATTTCTCTATTACAGAAACACTCCTGTAGTACGCATAAATAACTCAGAACTCAGTTTTTTCATTTTGTTATCGCTGACTCTATGTTTTCTATGTGCTTTGGTGTTTATTGGGGAACCTACATCCTGGTCCTGCATGCTGCGGCACACTGCCTTCAGCATCACTTTCTCTCTCTGCATCTCCTGCATCCTGGGCAAGACTTTAGTGGTTTTGGCAGCTTTTACAGCTACCCGACCTGGAAACAATATAATGAAATGGCTGGGCCCCACACAGCAGAGAATAATCATTTTCTGCTGCACTCTGGTCCAGGTGATCATATGTACTGCTTGGCTTGTAGCATCCCCTCCTTTCCCCTATAGAAACACTAAATATACACAGTCCAAGATCATCCTGGATTGCAGTGTGGGCTCTGATCTGGCCTTCTGGTGTGTGCTGGGATATATTGGCCTTTTGGCTTGTGTCTGTTTTTTTCTGGCTTTTCTGGCCCGGAAGTTGCCAGGCAATTTTAATGAGGCCAAATACATCACCTTCAGCATGCTTATATTTTGTGCAGTGTGGCTAGCATTTGTACCTGCATATGTCAGTTCACCTGGTAAATTTACAACTGCTGTGGAAATTTTTGCCATTTTAGCGTCTAGTTTTGGTCTACTCTTCTGCTTGTTCACCCCCAAGGTTTATATCATTTTAATAAAGCCTCAGAAAAACACCAAACAACATCTAATGGGAAAAGACAAATAATACAATTCACAATGTTGTGAGCCCCGCACAAATGGGATGAAATAGAAATAATCCTTAAAATGCTAAATAAAATATATATCTAAATTACCAATATAGCAACAGTCATTAAATCAACACAGATTTTTAATTTATTTTTTAATTTTTTTATTATTATTATGAGTAGGAGTCAAATGTCATACTATCCTCATTTTAACTTAACGCTTACGATGTTTGGAGTTCCGTTCAGTCCCAACACATTTACAATTTACAGAGTGATTGTATAAAAGAAGAAAAAAGAAAATAAATATTGACATTTCCTACTGACACACTACAGCAAAATATATAAATAACTGACTTAAAACCATTTTTTTAGCTGGTGAAAATACTAGTGTTCTAATAATTTTGTCATGTTTATTTATCTATTTATTTTATTTAATTTGTTCTTTGATATTATTTTTGAAATAATGCCACATAATTTGCAAAAATATAACTACAATGTCAGAGTGTATTCACAAATTATTTATTTCAATAAACCAAATGTAAATTATTTAATCAATTAATACAAAATTAACTTCATATTTATATTTTAATCACTACAATTAGAAGAAATGAAATGAAGGGAACCATGTTTTTCAACAAAGGAAGCATTAAACAAGGAACCCAAACACCATAGGAGGGTTAATTTCTTATTGCTACCATTCATACAAATGAGACATTATACAATTAGTTATCACACAATGGTTCAGCAGTGTGTGCTAGTGTATTAATTTACTGGACACTACAATGATGATCTTATTTTCCTGCAAAATGTTTTGAAAGACCATAAGGTACAACACAGGCCAAACTCAATTCTACATCTCTCCTGGGAGAGATATATATTAAAGCCTGTCCATGCTCTTTATAAGTAATAATAATAATAATAACGAGGACAAAAAATTCAGGGTGCAGAATATGACCTATTTGTCAGAGTAAAATAATAGTGTAAACTTGTAAAAAGTAGTACAGTGACAGAAATAAATATAAAAATGCATTTTAAATGTAACACATTTCTCCACGGATTGACAGGGGGTGGAGTGACTTTGAAGAAAGCAAGTTTTTTTTTTTTTTAGGATTAACCTTATGATATATTGTAATTATAACTGAGCATTAAAATATATTAACCACACCCTCTTACGTTTTTTTTTCCCCTTGCAAATTCATTGTCACAGAAAACAATAGTGGCTATTTAAACATGGTGAAATGCTCACCTGATATTTGGGGAGTTCGCTGTTCTAGCAGGAGACATGCATGTTTCACTCATAACAGTACTTTGCCTTGCCATGCTTTGTCCTGCTGTGTGTGGAGTTAATTTTGGTACCTGCATCCTGCAAGGCAACCCTCAGGCTCCTGCACTCTTCAAGAACGGAGACTTGGTTATTGGGGGGGTTTTCTCCATTCATGACTATCTGAGGACAGAGAAGCACACTTACACTAGACAGCCACAACCACTAGAGTGCAGTGGGAGGTTAGCATATACATGCAGGAAGGGATAATATATGTTTAGCATGATATTGCACATTTATATACTGTATATATATATATATATATATATATATATATATATAACCTGTTACAATTTGTGAGAATTTACAATGATCTGTTGTTTGTTGTTTGTAATCTTATGAAATGATTATGAAAAATGGGATGTGCAATTGTTTTCATATTGTCGTATATTTAAGTGTATTTTTTCCCTCTATTTCAACAGTGTGGGTTTCAGAGAGATGCGCTTTGTTCGTGCCTTTGAATTTGCCATCGAGGAGATCAACAACAGCTCTGATTTCCTACCGGGCATCACTTTAGGGTATCATATATATGACTCTTGTGCCTCTGTGCCAATGGCAGTCAAAGTAGCCTTTCAGCTTGCCAACGGACTAGATCTAATATTTAACCTCACTGATTCCTGTGCAAAATCTGCAGCTGTTACAGCAGTAGTCGCAGAATCTGGCTCCACACCGTCTATAAGCATTTCAAGACTTCTCGGTCCATTTGGAATTCCACAGGTGCAGGTTCAATATCACTGTTTTTTTGTTTGTTTGTTTTTTCATCATAGATAGATAGATAGATAGATGTTTGGGCCTACATCATTGTTAATAAGTAAATAAGATTTAAGATATAAATATTGACATATCCAAAATCGTTTGTTTAGCGCACCTGTAAAAATAACGTTTAAGAATAGCGCAGAGAGAACGTAAATATGCGTCCTACGTGGACTGCCCCTTAAAATGTAGCGTATGTAATTACATTTGGTGTTTTGTGATGGGTTGCTTACTTTTCCCCTATCCTTTCACGGTGCACAATAGGTGAGCCATTACGCAACGTGCGCGTGTCTCAGTGACAAGCGGCAGTATCCTACTTTTTTCAGGACCATCCCCAGTGATCACCATCAAGCGGCAGCACTGGCACGGATGGTCAAGCACTTCGGATGGACGTGGATCGGAGCAGTGCGCAGTGATTCAGACTATGGGAACAATGGCATGGCATCATTCCTGAAAGCTGCGGAGCAGGAGGGAATCTGTGTGGAGTATTCTGAGGCCTATTACAGGACCCAACCGCGCAGCAAACTAAAAAGAGTCGCGGATGTCATTCGCAGATCAATGGCTCGTGTAATAGTTGCCTTCCTGGCCTCAGGTGATATGAGAATCCTTTTAGAAGAGCTGAGCCAGCAGCCGCCTCCCCCGATGCAGTGGATTGGCAGCGAGGCGTGGGTTACAGACCCAGAAATGCTGCGTTTTAATTTGTGTATCGGCGCTGTAGGCTTTGGAATCCCGCGGTCAGTTATCCCGGGTTTTCGTAATTTTCTACTTGACCTGTCTCCAGAACAAGCGCTAAAATTTCCCCTGCTGACAGAATTCTGGGAAAGCTCATTCAGCTGTAGTCTAAAAAGGCAGACAGGTTCTTCTGCTGGTATGCCAGCATGTGATGGCACAGAGGACCTGCACGCTTTACAGAACCCGTACACAGACACGTCCCAGTTGCGGATCACTAACATGGTGTACAAAGCCACATATGCTATAGCCCATGCCCTCGATGCTATTGTCTGTAACAAAAAACATTGTGACAAAAACGTGAAAGTTGAACCCTGGCAGGTAAGTATTTCTCATTGTTTTCAAACTGAATTTAAATGACATTCAACTAAGAGAGAAAGAAATACGTTTAATCTAATTAAACATTTCTTCGTATGTGCCTGTGTGTGTATAAGATATATACATACACATATATAAATCCATCTGGATTTTGTTTGTCCCTCCTGCAGGTTTTTGATAAGCTTAAGCAAGTAAACTTCACTCAAAATAATTATCATATTTCGTTTGACACCAGTGGAGACCCTGTGGCAACCTATGAACTTGTGAATTGGCAGCTTCAGAGAGACGGTTCAATTGATTTTGTTACAGTGGGCCATTATGATGCATCCCAACCTAAAGGCCAAGAATTCAGCCTGAGTAGAGCTATCATTTGGAACGTTGGCAAAGAAACGGTATACAATGTTTTGTTATGTTTCAATGTAACTGTGAATATCTGTGAGTGATGTTTGTAATTGTCACATGCAGGTGCCTGTGTCTGTGTGCAGTGAAAGCTGTCCTCCAGGTACTAGGAAGGCTGTACAAAAAGGAAAACCTGTCTGCTGTTATGACTGCATTAACTGTGCTGAAGGAGAGATCAGCAATGAGACAGGTGCTGTTTTTTTTTTAGGCTTAAAGCAACACTGCTCCACCAAGCCATTTATCAATCAATTTCCACAGTCCATCACAGGGCTAAAATGTCTATGTGTAATTTAGCTATTAATTCAATTTTTCAGATTCTTTAGATTGCTATCCATGCCATCCCGAGTACTGGCCCAACAAAGAGAAGGACAAATGTCTTCCAAAACCAGTGGAGTTTCTCTCCTGGGATGAGATCCTCGGTATCATCCTCACTGTTTTCTCTGTAGCCGGAGCTTTAGTAGCTTTGAGCATGGCTTTAGTATTCTACAAAAACAGGGCCTCTCCGATAGTAAAAGCCAACAACTCAGAGCTGAGCTTCCTACTGCTTTTCTCATTGGCTCTATGCTTTCTCTGTTCACTTACTTTCATTGGTCGGCCCACTGAGTGGTCCTGCATGTTGCGTCACACAGCATTTGGGATCACTTTTGTCCTCTGTATCTCCTGTGTTTTGGGGAAAACAATAGTGGTGTTAATGGCTTTCAGGGCTACACTTCCAGGAAGTAATGTCATGAAATGGTTTGGGCCTCTTCAACAGAAATTCAGTGTTTTGGGTTTCACTCTTGTACAGGTACTTATATGTGTGCTTTGGTTAACAATATCCCCCCCTTTTCCTTACAACAATATGCAACACTACAAAGAAAAGATCATTCTAGAATGTGGTTTAGGATCAGCTATAGGTTTCTGGGCTGTACTGGGTTATATTGGCCTCTTAGCTTTCCTTTGCTTTGTTTTAGCTTTTCTTGCCCGAAAGCTGCCTGATAACTTCAATGAGGCTAAGTTCATCACATTCAGTATGCTCATATTCTGTGCTGTATGGATCACATTTGTTCCAGCTTATGTTAGCTCTCCAGGGAAATTTACTGTAGCTGTGGAGATATTTGCCATTTTAGCTTCAAGCTTTGGTCTGATTCTCTGTATTTTCGCTCCTAAGTGTTTCATTATAGTTTTTAGACCAGAACAGAATACCAAAAAACATTTAATGGGTAAAGTACCATCAAAAGCCCTCTGAGATGCACATACACAGCTCTCATACCAACTGTTTAATTTATAAGACATTGTTATTTTAATGTGTCAATTTTCACATCAACTGATATAGCTGTTTTACATGTTTGTGCTAACTGACACAATTGTTTCAGTTAAATGTGCTAATTAACATGTACTGTATATTGTAAAACTGTTCCAAAAATAGTTTAAACAGAAAACTTAAAATGAAAAAAAAAATAATGCATTGATATAGTTTTATAATTACACATGTAATGTACATGTATCCTTCATCCTTCATTTAGCATGTTTGAGTTTGAGATATACGAATAAAATTATATTTTATATAAAACATGCTTTATAATAGTCTAATATTTGTGATGTTTTACAAATTCATGTAAACTACTTGTACCATTGAATCCATGTGAAAATCCATTTACAGATGATTTTTACAATGTTTAATTATGTAGAGATCACGAGAGAAGAAATAATGATCACAACAAACTAGACCTTTTTATAATTATTGTTGTTGTTGCTGTGAAATCACAACTGTGGGTGAGAGCTGCAGAAAGAAGACTGCTGCTGTAGCCTAACCACATAAAAGGAAGGCAAAACTATTAATTCCAGCGCGGTCATCTTCACTCATTACAACCATAGACTGTATAAAAACATGGACGTTGTGTCCATGACGTCACCCGTAGGGTTCCGAAGAGAGTTTTTGAAGCTCAAAGGTGGGCGGAGGCGGCCGTCGCCATCTTGGCAGTGCGTCACCGCCCGTCACTCCCAGATAATCGAAGATGGACAAAGAGGTGGGAGCTGGTTGTTGAAACCACGCCCACCTAGCTCGACGGTGGTGACAGCAGCGGCAATCCACCTGTCACTCAAGTGGCCACGCCCTTAATTATGCAGAACTTTAAGGCTTACTATAATTTAAACGGATGAGTTATAAAAAAATTCACTCCCCTCACAGTTGTCATGAAGGGCAAAATTAGCTATATAGACCAAAATAATTTTTTGAACCAGGCTGTAAACGTTTTTTCTGCTGTAAAGTTGGGCATTTTAACATGGGGAGTCTATGGGATTGACTCCCTTTTGCAGCCAGCCTCTAGCGGCCAGTTGATGAATTACAGTTTAAGTCACTTCCTTGTTGGCTTCACAAGAGAGAGGGGGAGGTTGCCGCTTAACCTAAAACAACAAAATTAACACATTTGGATTTAGACCAAGCAGTCCGAAATTTAGCGCATATAGGCCTTTTTGCCACATATAGGCGTATCAGTGTGTATTTTTACCACATGGAAATTCAATATTTAAGTTCAATATCTGTCGATATTATGGCTTCACAAGAGAGAGGGGGAGGTTGCCGCTAACAAAAAAAGGTCCCCAGGTCGTGCCCTAAATGGCCTCTGCGAACGTCCCCCGGACGTCAGCGTGTCGGGTCCTCTTGACGTCGAGCGGACGTTCGCAAAGACGTCCTCCGGACGTTCAAGGGGACGTTCACAGGACGTGCAGCGGCCATTCGGGACGTTTAGGGGACTTTCGCTTTAAGTCCTCTGAATGTCATTTTATTTTACTTTTAGGCTAATCAAAGACAACAGACACGTTGTATGGAGCAAAATACGTTTATTTTAATTGAACAATTGTAAAGTTGCGGTGCTCTTTCCGTGTGTGTGTGTGTGCGTCTCTGGTTGTCAGCTGTGGTTAGTCCGATGGCAATTCTTCCCATTGTCTTCTAACCTAAAACAACAAAATGAACACATTTGGATTTAGACCAAGCGGTCCGAAATTTAGCGCACATAGGCCTTTTTGGCGCATATAGGCGTATCAGTGTGTATTTTTACCATGTGGAAATTAAATATTTAAGTTAAATAACTGTCAATATTATATACGTTTAATCATTTCAGCGTTACATGCTAACGTTAGCTTCGAAAGTGTTCACATAGGCTAACGTCAGCAGCCGTACGGGACAACTTCAGCAAACGTTTAAAAAGGTAAACCTTTCATAAAATGTAAGCATTACGAGATACACAGTGGTTACGGTAGCTATATGTCTACAAATATAAAAGTATAAATACCTTTTCGACCAACGAAAGCGAAAACTCAAGGCGTGTCTGAGGAATCACCGAGGACCGTTAACTGTCACTACGCAGCTGATCGTTGCCATGGATACATGCTGCGTTTCCTAAAGTGATGTCATTCGATCATGTGCTCATTTGATCGACACTTGCTTATAGCCACATTGGGACATAGGCTACATTACTTCTATTTTTTGAGCTGCACATGGTATAGCAGTCTTAAATGCAATAACTAAAATAATAATTTTCCTAAATAACTTTTCTTGTCGGCTTACCAACAGTTTAATATGTAGATGGAAATAATTAATTTTTTTGTCTTACCTGTGTTATTTTTCTTCATGTTTTCCTTGGCTGCATTAATCACTCTATAACATTCTTGTAGAGCTCCTGGGATGCAACCTTATTTTCTTCATGCATGGGGAGTGCATAAACCTAATTGTAGCCTATATGTTCAATTATATTATTGAGGGGTATCATGATTTTGATGTTTAAATGCTGAAAACAGACTCCTGATTTGATGACATTTTTAATTACAGAAGTTACTCCTATTTTCTTTTTCCAAAAATGAAAATTATTAATTTAACATTAACTTCATTTTACAATGTATTCAAACATATTATACTATAGTAAAAAAGAATAATAATATCAATCTGCAAAACATTTTGCATTCTATTCTCACAGTTAAAAAAGTTTTAAGGAATGATACCCTTTAAAATCCAATATGGGTTTATATTTTAGTTTAATTTTGTCAACTCTCTTTGTCGGAGTTGCAAGGTGTCAGGTCCAGTGTTGGGAAGGTTACTTGTTGTAATAGGTTACAGATTACAAGTTACCCTTGTTTCAGTTACTTTATTAAAGTAATGTAACTGATTTCACTTGATTACTTTTTGATTACTTTTCTAAATTTCTATTGTTTTCAATTTTGTATTATTTTGAAACATTTAAAGCAGGCAGGGTTAACGTTACAGTGGTACTCAACACTGATTACTGTCAGACTTTCAGAATCCTTCTTCACTTGAATTAAGATTATAATAATTTAATTGTAAAGCACAACCATCTAAAAATCAGACTTTAGCAGCTCTTTTTACTTTGAGATCTTTTTGAGGTTAAATACAGATTTAAAATCATAAGATATAGTTTAATAGCTATGATAGGCCTACTGTTTTTGAAATCAAATCTTTGCATAGCTATGACAGGAAACACTGGCATCTAACAATGCCTTGGAAAAAAAAAAAACAGTTAATCTTATTTATTATTTTTTTTTAAATCATATACATAAACCAAAATAGGAAATAAAACAGTTATCGAATAAGCATGTGTCCTGTGTCCTCAACTCCTGAAACATTGGTGTCTCATATTTTAAATATGTATATGTGTGAAAATATTCAGATGTAACTCCCTTTGTAATCATTAACATTTTCATAAGTAACTGTAATTTAATTACACTTTTTTTTTTCTCAGTAACTGTAAGGTCAGGTCTGATGATAAAAGCCCATGCATGGGCGACTGGATTTTTCAAGTGTTGTAATGGAAATGGCAGATGAGGGACGAAACAGGGACGTTCGCAAACTGGCTCCGACGAATGTCCTCCGAACGTCCGCCAGCGAACGTCAAAAAGAGGACCAAATGCGGACTTAAGTGGCCGTCCTCAAAACGTCCGCCAGCGAACGTTAAACAGCGGGCCAAATCCTGACGTCCTCCGAACGTCCGCCCGCGAACGTTACAAAGCGGACGTACTGCGGACCTAAACGGACGTTCGGAACGTCCGGGGTACGTCCCCTGTTTGCTGGGAGAGTTGCCATGGAAACTCTCACTGCTTTCAGGTAAGTTTAGTCCCTAAAATCACACAAATATTACATACAAACGTTCCTGACACGTTTCGTACTTGTAATTGACATCTTTCTATTGAATATTTATTTTATAGAAATGGTTTAGCCTCTTCGAAAAAGTCCGTTAGCATCTCAACCGTTTTCAGACGAGGTAAGCTAACTCTGTAGATTGAGCTCTTGTTTATGAAACTTTGGGCTTTTAATCAAATCTTCATGTGTATGAGATGTTTTGATAGATCTGTAAAGGTTTTGCTGGCGATTTGTCAATGGGTTATTGGAAATAGGATAATGTACTTAACCAAACATACACTGTACTTTAAGTTTTAAAACCGTCATCTTCTGTCAATGAATGAAATGACGTTCGCCACCATATCAATGGCCTAATAAACATTTTGCAACCTACAGTGATGTTATTCTATGTCATCTGTTCTTTGACCATGTGTTGCACTGTACGTGGATGATACACAGTGATGATCACCGATAAAAATGCATGGTCTACTCTATTTTGATGCACAACAAACACTCAATCAACATTATTTATAGGCTAAGTCATAACGTTTCTTAAACATATATATTCTTAATTAGTTTTTTTTTTAACATACTGTTGCCTCCTGGTGGAATGACCTGCCCAAATCAATTCGAGCAGCTGAGTGCTTGGCCATCTTCAAGAAACTGCTAAAAACGCATCCCTTCCATCTTTATTTGACCCTCTAACTCTAGCACTTTCTATTCTAATTCTATTTTATATATTTGTTGACTTGACCCTCTAATATGGAACGATATTCCGGACAATTTTCAAAAGGAATTGCAAATTGTATTTTCAATTGCGTTTTCAATATGTGGACGCATAAATTGTGACATAATCCAAATGCAATTGCAAATCCTGCATTACCGTTTGCATTTTCGCGAACGCACAGTGACTGCCACATTTCAAATGAAAAAGCTAAATCCATTTGCAACTGTATTTCCCATGTCTAACGAGTTATGAGCCTTTCATATTTAAATAGCAATATTAATTACCACATTTGCTTTTTCACTCTCTGCATCGTGCATGTAAACTGTATTCAACAGTTTTAATCCGTTATGGAGTTCGCGTCCCGTTTGTGGCACCAAGGCATTGCGCCTGC